GTGTTTTTTTTTTCTGAATCGACGACAAAATTCGATTCATATATGAAAGTGAGTTGGCAATCAAAATTTTTTTTATTTTTCAGTAATGATCTGTGAATTTCCATAAATGATCTTTGATCTTTTTGAAGCGTGTAAATCGCGTGCATAAATTGGTTCGCGATTGTGGAAAAGATTAATCTGAATACTAGGAAAAACATTAAAAAAATTAATGCCCCCATTCTTTCGCACATTTTTGCAAATTCTGCCTTTCGCGAAGGGACTTTCCAAAAGTCTTGTGAATGGATGAGCATCAGCAGTTAACGAATAACCCGATGCAGTATTTATTAAGACAAATTCGATTTTTATTTTGGATCATAAAATTGCGTGCCATTATTGGACTAAATGTCGATTTAGCCATTTTAATATACTTTCATCTGATCAGAAATAATATTTGACTCGAGCCAAAATGCTTAAATTGCATCAAATCAATTTTTCGAAACACATGCAGGAGAATTCAAATATATTTTTTTACGTTATCGATTGATGACGAAAAAATCCTCAAACAGTGAAAAAATAGGAAAAATTTAGCTTTCTATTTATTTCTTCATCTTAATCGAGGAATTTAAAATGGCGGAAAATAATTAACTGATGATCCTCACTGTTTCAAAATTTTTTTTTCAGATCAGGGAATTCTTTGGCTCAAAATACTTTTCATCAGAAGCAAGAAAAGGAAACACATTTCTTGCTTTAGGAATGATGAAATTGACAATGTCAACTCGACACCGAAAAAACATTTTGGTACTTCTCGGCGCCATCTTTACGTGCATTTTTGTCTTCACTGTTCTGAAGCCATGTTTCAGCGATGGTCGTGGCTTGAAAGCGCCACCTGGCGGTAAACAGTTGCTTCAGGTGAGTTTAAAAAAAAAATGTTGCATTGAATCATTAAATCCTATGACAGAAATACGATTTATATTTTTTTGTTGTCTCAGTTGATTTGGAGAGCCCTTTTTTTGAAATTTCAAGACCTCGTCAAGTTCTTGCAAAAATTTTTTTTTAGAAATTTTAAATTAACTTTCATCGATTTTTAATGTTTCAGGCAAACTTTTACGCGTCGGATCCCAACGGATCATCTGGTGCAATTGGGAACGATTGGGTAAGTTTAGTTTCAACATTTTTTGACGTACTATATATGAATAAATAAATGTTCCATTATTAACGATATAATTGTACATATTTAAAAAAAAATTGTGCATATGCAATTTTTCCGATGGACGACGAAAAATCTTTTGAATGACGTTCGGTTTCATTATTCTGGGGAAGATTTGATATTTGGCGACGCACTTTATTTTCTTCGTGGGAATATTTCGTGGTTGTCCTTGAAATTCTGTTGAATATTTCAAATTTAAAAACAATAATTTTCACGAATTAGGTTTTTTGCGTTATAATCACCCAAACAATTTAAATTTCGAAAATTGCTTCGATGTATTTTCGATTGATTTAATGAAAGTGAGTTTTCTTCGGGATAAATTGACTGGTTCATTTTTCAAATTTTCGAACCCATTAAGAAGCAATTAAAAACGATTTATTGAACAGAATTTAACTGTTCCCGGTGAAAATTGATTTTGTACAACAACAAAAAAAGCCTCGGGTCATGATTTCGATGTAAGTTTTTCGCAAGGTTTTCCACACCAGAGGATGAAAAAAAGGAAGGTTTAAACAGGCTTTAATTTCAGAAATTTGAAATTTCGTTAATTAATTATAAAACCTTCGAGTGGCTTTTTTTTCTCTCTCACAAAAACAAACACAAAAACATGTGGTTTTCGGTTTGTTCCGTCGCCGGGGATTTCGCGAATTTGAAAAACTCGTCGGCGACGCAAAAGGCGATTTTCGCAGTCACGATTCTGCTCTTGCTTTCTGCCGTCTTCGACTCGGACGGTGACGGGAATCCGTGTCCAGACCTCGCGGATTTTTGGCAGAAATATTTGAGCTTTCTGCCGATCGCAAATCAACCGTTTTCTGCGGGTGTAAAAAGCGATTTTCACTGGACTACGAGGACCAGGCGAAAAAGGCGCGTTTTTAACGTGGGTTTCTCTTTTTTTTTGCTCATTTAATTTCGTAAATTTTCATTGTAAAATATTCCCTTTGATCTAAAACTCGAGTTTTCTTTCATTTTTACCGTTCAAAAAAGTTAGAAAGATCCGAGTCTCGTAAAATCCAGGATGTCTTGGATTTATTCGCGATAAAAATACATCTTGTGGTTTAAAAATGCGATTATATTTTAATCAGTAATGTCTGATCCAAAATTAGTACACATTTTGATGATCAAATCTTCATTTGCCAATTGAAAATATACAGATTTTTTTTACCACTACTAAGAATGCATTTAAATCTTGATCCAAAGTAAAATGCGGAAAATGACTTTTCATGGGGCAAATTTAATTTCTTTTCAAGTACAGGTACAGTAGTGTAATGTGTCAATAATCAAAAAATTCCGCGCAATTTTTATTTTCCTCGAAAAAGGATTTGCTAATTTTTAATTTTTTTAATAACGAATTTTGCTTGTGCAAATGAAGATTCAAAATGCACAAAAAGATTGGGATGAATGATGGCAGTGTGTATAATTTTATTTCAGAAAATACACCAGTTTAACTTGCTAAAATTTATGAATGGAATCCACTGTAAATATATTATTAAAATTGAATATTCGCGGTGATGAACTTCTTCAAATTCTCCGTGACGTAAATTCACGAGGAGATGCTCGAATAGATGTCGCTTCTTGCTCGATCAATTAACAAATAAAATAAAAACTGGAAATAAATGCGCTTTGTGCGATAAATGGAAATTTTATTTTGTCAACTATAAATTGAAATGCTTTTTCTTGATATGTTTTCTTGTTGAAGTAACGTTTTCCTTTGCTGGTGCAAGGCATTAGTTGACATCGTTGTTGTTTTTTTTTTTACGAGTGCAGCGATGATGACACGCGTGACGAGTTTCTCAGGTTTTCGCTCCGTCGATGCCGACTGCTTAGTTTTTTTTTTTTTTTTTTATGAATGAAATACTTATATTTTTTGCTTTTAAATTTTTGTATTTTTCCTTTCAGACCTGCATTGCTTCGCGGTTGTTGTAGTTTTCCTTTTCTTTTACTTCGTTTTTTTTGTGCGTGGAATATTGTGACGACGACGAGGGGGCGAAAGTTCTTCGACGATACGAGGGGGGAAAAACTTTTTGCGTGATTTCAAGTCGGATTCGCAATTTTTCACGGACTTGGGCAAACGGTTTTTTTTTTTTTTTTTTTCGTGACTTGTTGAATCGGCTGGCAATTTTCTTTCTGCTGTAAAGAATTTGAGATTATTGGATATAAGATTTCAATTGCGCAAGGCTAATGTGAAAAATGCGACTTCAACTTATATCAGCACCTGTAGTACATGCGTTATTTCCAGCAGTCAAAAAGGAGAGGAAAATATTTTTGAAACTCGTTTAAAATCTTTTGGTTTTTTACATTTCTACTCTTGATTGTAGTATTTCGAAAAGGTTCGATTGTTTCTTTGTGGGGTTATTTTCGCATTTAGCTTTTCGACGTCGTCATTTAAAAAAAAACCGAATAAATGTTCTACTCACGGTAATTTATGCATATTCTGCCATTCGAACAACGAAATTTCCGAGGAATTCCATTCTGAAATGTAGACCGTAATAAAAAAATGATACATTTTTAAACGCAAAAAATTTAAATCACTAACTGGAATCAAAGGCTTCTTATTTCAGCGTTCATTATTTAAAATAAATTGATTGTGAAACGTAATATTGTGAAAACCCTGTATCAACTATAGAAAAAGTAACAAAAAGATATGTTTTCTCAAATTTTGTGCTCAAATTGCAAAAATTTCTTGTGATTGCCTCAAATTTATTTTTTCACTTCATTGAAAGTTCTTCATACTAAGAGACTTTTATTCTTGTTTTTTTTTCTGTTGAAAATGACCCCGGATGAAAGAAATGTAATGAATTCCCTTGTGTGTCAGTGAATTGCCTCAGGGCTTGTATATAGTGTATATGTATAAAGAGGCTCTTTGACAATTCGCTATAGTTTGGTCACGTTTTCTTTTCTTTTCTTTTTCCTCCTGATAGCCTGAGGAAAAAGCATTTTCAGCTTCTCTTGCTGAATGCTATGTACATAGAATGCGAATGAAGTCGGACTTTATTTAGGCTCTGGCAGAATTGGCTCCTATATACATATGAGACCAGCAATAAAAAAGAGCCCAGGAGCGCATGTGATAGAGCTCTTTTGTGTATGAGGCGCTCCTCTTTGCTTCCCATCTCATTAGCTTCTCCATCCATTATTCTTTTTTCTTGAGTATTTTCTGGGTTCACAAATGTACAGAAAGGACTTGCTTTTCAAGTTTCAAAGCTGGCATTTGAAATAATCAAGCCATTTGATGATTTGAGTAATAAATAAATAATGGCCACAAGAGTTGCATAAAAACCTCACTCTCTAGCTGGAATTCTGGGCTTGGTATGCTGTTGCATATTTAGTGAGTTCATGCTCATACAATGAAAATAATCCAATATTCAACTTCTGCAAATTCAACTGTCAAATTTCAATAAGGTAAAATTGCAGGAGGTTGAATTTTGAGGTACCACCTTTATTATTTTATGTTAAAAATGTTTATGTTACACTATTTTTCCATTATTTTACAAACAGAAAATCAGCCTCTCTGTTTAGCTGTTGTATAAATTTGTTTACCAAAGGTTAAACACGTAACTTTTTTGTTCATGTACTGTACTGTTGAAAAGAGCTCAGGAGAGCAAGTGATAGAGCCCCAATGCTGGTGGCGCCCTCTTTCAATCCGTGTTTCACTGCCTTCTGCAGCCAGGCAAACATTTACACATATCTAAAATCGATAATCTTTCCATTTACGTAATTTATTGAAGTGGAATATAATCTATCTTTTCCATCGATGCTTGACCTTCATCTTCCCGTTATCCGAAATTTAATTTAAGATACAATAATATTTTCTTTGAACGATATGTGGTCCGCCTTTTTCGCGCCCTTTGAAGACTTTCATTCGTTTGCTCGGAGCTTGAAAGCCCTTTCGAGCCCCAAAGTGATCATCGGGTTTTTCTTCTGGATCAAGATTGTCTTTGATCTGAAAAGTTCTGGAAGTCTGGGATCGATTGACTTAATTGAAGGCATGCGAAGATTGAATCCTTGGGTCGACAGGAATAAAGTCCGTCACGATTGGGCAACTTATCAGGAAATCGTGAGTGGGCTTTTCTGCGAATTTCGCTGCGAGGATTTTCTTCCTATATATACAGAATGGGCAAAAAAAAAGGGAATCGATTTTCGACATGAATAGCTTGGTATAGGAAACTGAGCTGCTATGACAATCGAAATAGCACCAAATCAAAGCTTGTTAGATGATTCTCTTCCATATGGCATGTACTTGCATGGTTCCATAGTGATAAAACAGGGGGGGATTTTTTGGGACTGAATCAGGCACCCATGTAAATATGTACTTTTGTATATGAAATGCGGGGTTTTGAAAATATGAAATTTGTTGAGCAAAGGCAGGTCATGGCCAAGCATCACTGTATGAGACTTTATCAATTCAGTCTATGACACAGAAGGATACCAAAATTTTCATGTGCCTGTGCATTATGAGCAGATCAGGCATTAATTATGGCCACCTAGGTCAATCAGAGAAGTAAAAATTTGCTTTCCCATAAGCCAGATGTGTCCAACAGGATAACAACTGCTGCATGCGGCAAAAGGGAAAGATCAATAATGGTTCAAATGACATATTTTAAGGACTGCTACAGTGAAGATATTTTTGAATCCAGGTCAAATTGCATTACATTTTAAAGGTATTCCTAAAATGCTGAACATGATGCCCAGGTGTGGCTGGGCACCCTCCCCTAGTAAATAATAATTATAATACCGTATTTACTCAGGTACCATGTGCCCTGGAGTAAGGAGTGCATGGGGGTTTTTCAGCTGGAAATTTTGCTAAAATCTTATCCCCCAGTAAGAAGCGCAACCCAATTTTTAGTGAATCTAAAACCACAAAATTTAGAAAATAGAAACAAAAAATTTGACTCCAGACATGAATTGAACAAAAATCTGATCAATTTTCAACTTTTTCAGTAGAAAAAAATTTTCTTGGTACATTTGTTCCTAATTTTTCCATTATAATCAAGTGTAATTCACACCTAATTTCCTAAAACTTCTTGAAAAACTTTGTACCCGCTTATGACGCGCACCCCTTTTTTCTTCTGAAATTTTGAAAAAAGGTGTGCGTGGTACTCAAGTAAATACGGTAATAACCCCTGCTGCATTGCTGCATCCCAAAAACTGGTCCTTTGGTAGAAGCCCAAAGCACAAAAAAACAAGTCCAGAAGGAATTGTGAACAAAACACAGCATCATCTTCAATTCTAACGTAATCAGCCAATCAGAGGCCAATATTTCACCCACAAGGATAACTATACTTTCCTTCTCTTTCTTCTGTCTCAAAAACCGGGACACACAGAATTCATTCCACTGCCAATTCTTGAAGTGTGAAGAGCTCTCAAGACATCTGATTTTATCATTGTGTTGTGTGAAAGTATGTGTGTGTCAAGTCCAAAATTCTCTGAGTTGTATTATTCTTTGGGACGTTATTAAATACTCAAGTCTTTTGGGGCCTCTATGAAGGCAGCCAGTCCCAGGCTGATTGCTGTGTTTTAGGAACATTTCTCTATTATTATTCTCATATTTTCTTTGTTGAGACTTCTTATTCTCTAACACATAGGCCACAGAATGGTTACAAGAATCATTCAAGTGAAAACTTCAAAAAAAGTTACCAGGCATGGTTCTTGAAACTATTCCATGGCATTTGTAAGCTTAAAACTACATACTACAGTATTTGGAAGAGAATTGAAAAAGCTTTGATTTGGTGCTTATTTTGAGTGTCACAGCTCAATTTCCTAGCAAGCTATTCCAAGTCAAAAATTGGTTCACTTTTTTTGGTCCACCCTGTATATATATATTATTTTTCTTTATGGGTGAAAATATATCTGAAGTTCTTTGGGATAGAATATTTGAGCACTGTCTTATTCGAAAGTAGACAAACAATATTGAACTGGATTTACCTTTTTGGATGAGGTGCCTGGATATTTTTTCCTGCCCTTCAAACTTGGGAATAGCAAATGAAGTCGCACTTGAGAATATCAAAGTAAACTGACGGAGAAATGGAATAAAAATGAGCTCCTCTGAATTTGTATTCCTATATTTTTGACGATATTGAGTGAACAAATGTCTTCTTCACGCAACAAAAAAACATATCTCGAAGTATTTCTTGAAGAAACCTAACCTTTTCTTGAATTGAAAAGCATTCACTTTTCATTCAATACAATATTTTGATATAATATTATTGATCATGCGCGAATAATAACTTGTCCATCAAGAATCAATCAACGATTTAGCATGGCCTGAATAAGACATTTCAATGGCTATACTCGTGTGTATGTATTTTAAATCATATTTTTGAATGTTTTATTTTGCATCTCTTTTTGAAAGAACGTACCAAGTTTTGTTTCTGCTGGGACCATAAAAAATCACGAAGTAAACTTATAAAAATCGTCAAAGCACGCCGATTAAGAATTAATTTTTACCCGAGCTGGTGTAATATTATTGTGATAATAATGAAAATTATAAGAAGTGAACATTAATTTCCAGAGCTTATTGAATTGCATATTACAGGTTTTCATAATAGATTGGCTTTCAAGAAAATTATGCTCATATATCTAAGGAAAGGTTATGCATCAGCTGATCATTCCTTGTTTCCCTGAAGATTGGCCTAATGTTTCTGCTTGAAAAATATTGTAATCGAAGAATATACTACGTGTATTGGATGGACAAAATTACTTGAGAAATATTTTTTTCCATTTCATCGTGAATGGAATTTAGTTTTGGGATGCCTTTAAAATGATAAAAAGTTTATCGGGTGTTTTTTTATTACTTCACTATACAATCACAGTCCAAATTCCTTGAATGGCCAAGCTGACTTTTTTTAATGGTACATATCCATGTATATGACATGGCAAATTTTAATACATGTACTTAAGTTGTTGTTTGTGTTCTTGTATTGTCAAATTTCAGGGAACATTTCTCTATTATTGATGATCATTCATATAATCCATCAAAATACAAAGTTACTTATTTATGAAATGAAATGGATTCATGGGAGTGCCATAATCTTGAAAACTTCAACAGTTTATAATGATATGTGTGAATTGTGAAAATATCTGCACAAATTATGAATAGGTGCATGCAGAGAATAATTTTGCACTCTGCTTATTTACAGTCAAACCTCTGTAATTCAAAATTCAAGGGACCAGAAAAAATTGACTTGTATCATGGGGATGTTTTGACATAGGGACATTTTGAGTTAGAGAAAGAACAATTTTTGGTACTTTCCTGTTATTTCAGTACCTCATTCCTAGACTGCACTACCATGCAGACAAATCTTTAGGACGAGTTCATAATCACAACGACCTACCAGAAACTGAATTTTATTTTTCTGCATTCTGCTGAAACTGATTTTGGGAGGCAGTTAGGTAAAGTTAGGTTAGGTCAGGTTTTGTTAGTTGCAGATATCTTTTAATTAACATAACCTGACCTAATCTAACTTTACCTAACCGCCTCCCAAAATCAGTTTCAGCAGAAATCCAAAGAAAGCAGAAACTGATTTTGGGAGGCAGTTAGGTGAAGTTGGATTAGGTCAGGTTAAATTGGTCAGAAGGAAGGTGCAGAGATAACAGGAAAGTAGGTACTGAGATAACAGGAAAGAACCATTTTTGCTGCTGTGATAAAAACATGGAAGAATTGCAGGAAACTGAAAAGGGCAATAGTCTGGGCCTTAAATTGCTTCTTAAATTAGTTTACAGGATGCTGTCTTAATTAGTCTTTATCTTCTTTCCAAAATGCATCAACTTACTTTTTCATTGCTTATCCTTTGTCAAGAAATAAAAGCCAAAAGTCCTCAGAAAATTTGAGCTATGGAGGTTTTAGTGGAAACGCTTTCAAGTTAGGGAGGCTTTTAATGCAGTGTTTCTAAGGAAATCCAGGCAAGGACTTGGCAAAAATTTGAATTAGGAAGGTATTTGGCTTATATAGAAAGGTTTGAGTTATCAAGGTTCAACTGTATCACACCAAAAATGTATTACCTTTTCTACCTGAAGTGAAATCATCAATGAATTTGGTAATCAACCATGCATAATACACATGTACATTCATAAATGAAATACTATTATTTGTTCTCAGGAAACAGTGCTCAAGTACAAGAATGAAGTGTACAAGTATGACAGACACATGCCTTTGATATTCATTGGCGGGATGCCCAGGAGTGGTACCACACTCATGAGAGCCATGTTGGACGCCCACCCGTTGGTGAGGTGCGGGGAGGAGACCCGCGTGGTACCCCGCATCCTGCAAATGGTGGCCCAGTGGCGCAAATCACCCAAGGAGACCCTGCGGCTGAATGAAGCTGGTCTCACTGAAGACGTCTTGGATGCTGGCGTCGCTGCTTTCATCCTTGAGGTTCAGTATAATCTAATATATATAAAATAGTCTAGATTTAATTGGATGTTCATATGATGAACATCTTATATAAATGCTGGGTTTGATTTGATGTCTATGTTGACAACCCTGCGTTTTGCTGGAGAAAGCCTGCAGCATAGGAAGGGATGAGCAACGTTATCTACTTCCTCTTTCGCACTATGCTAATATTGGGATTGGGGATGTCAGGTTTAATTAAAAGCTCCCTTGCGTCAACAGGATTTCAGGTTAAATCATAAACCTTGTCTGTTTATATGCTGCAATAGCTTGGATATGGCATATGCAGAATGCATAAGTATATGACTGTAGAAATATTGAATTTCATACAGTTGAACCCTATGCAGTCAAACTATTTCCTGCAAAAAAAAGTTTTTATGGACGTTTCAAGCTGAAAAAAACAACCCATTTTGATGAGGGGGGGGAATATAAAGTAAGAATTATAAATATAGAAAATTATAATTTTCGATTGCTGAAAAGCTTGGGAGTTTCAAGGATTTATTAAACCATCAGTCCTTCATTTCCTCTATAAAACACATAAATTTACATATTTCTTGTTTTAACTATTCTTTCCTGTGGCAATACAATATATGACAGCCAAAAGACCTCCAGAAATTGGAGTTATGGGGGTTTGAGGAGTATATGAAGTCTTCAAGTTGAAAAAGTTGTTTGAATGGTAATTTCATTATTGATTGTTTCTATCAGGGAATTTTAAATTGGAATTGAAAAAGAAGTCAACATAAGAATAATAAGTCATTCAACTTGAGCAGTTTCAATTGTTATCCATAGCAGGTAGTTAAACTGTATATAAACACCAGCCAGTGAAACATTTTTCAGGTACAGTACAGTACTGTACTGCTCCATCTTATTTGGAGAAATTCCACTTACTTTTCACCCTCAATTCCCTTTGATTTTGGCATGTATACAGTTTAATTCCTCTAATAGTGTTTTGTTCTATTTAGTATATGTGTTACATGCAGTATACTGTATGCTTTTTCAGGTGGTCGCAAGACATGGAGAACCAGCAGCAAGACTGTGCAACAAAGATCCATTTACACTCAAAAGTGCTGATTACTTAGCCAAGATGTTCCCGAAACTCAAGTTCATTTTTATGATCAGAGATGGCAGGGCAACAGTGCACTCCATGATGACGAGACATGTAAGCATTCAGCGACATCTATACCTGTTTGCCACGCACGGGCGTGCTCCTTAATCTTTGGAAAAGATGTCGCATAATAAGATGATCTCATACTGAAATTGATGAATTGCAGGTGACCATCACTGGATTCGATCTGCAGGACTTCAAACAGTGTTTGAAAAAGTGGAATCAGGCGATGACAACGATGCATGAACAGTGTCGGTTGTTGGGGGCAGAGAAATGCCTTCCTGTGTTCTATGAACAGCTAGTTTTGCATCCAAAACCGCAGTTGAGACGTATATTAGAGTTTTTGGATTTGCCCTGGAACGAAAATGTTCTGCATCATGAAAAAATGATTGGAAAGCCCGGCGGCATTTCACTATCTAAGTTCGTATTTTTTTGGAACTCTCCTTGAATATCTTGCATCAAATGCATGCTACAAAATCACATTCCTTATCCTTCTTTCTAGAGTTGAACGATCTTCAGACCAGGTGATCAAGCCTGTGAATTTGGAAGCTTTAACCAGTTGGATTGGCCATGTGCCAGAGGATGTCTCTGACAATTTGGAGAAATTAGCCCCGATGATGAAGGTATTGGGGTACGACCCGAATGACCCAAACCCAACCTATGGAAACCCGGACCAGATTGTGAGAGAGAAAACCAAAGACGTGATTGAAAATCAAGAGACATGGCAGAAAAAAGCAGAGCAGCTTTTGAGAATCAATCATGAAGATGTTTTGAATGACGTTGCTGTTGCTGCTTGAATGTTGCATGCATTGCCGTTTGTTACATGATTGATGTGTGATTCTTAAATATTTATATACATACGCTGCTGATGATGCATCTGCTGATCCATGTGCGTTTATTTATTTTCTTTATTGCTTGGCGGAGAGGAACAACATCACTATTACGTGATTCTGAGCGCATTGGCATCGATTCCGTTTTAACTAGGTTTGATTTTATTTAAAAACCCAGAATAACAACAGATTTTTCTCGAGATTAAGATAAGCATATGCATTAATCAACCTGTGAAGTGAGACAGATATTGCGAGTGACACAGCTTCACTGTCACTCTGTGTCAAATGTAAGTAAGTTTGACAGTAGTTCGGTACAGCAATTTCATGTGGCAAAATTGCACGTGCCCTTCCCGCCTCGCAAGTTCAAGTTACAGATTATTCGCACCTTTCACGGGTACCTGGACGATATGGTACCGTTTTCACTCACCGCCGCGAACTTCCACCCTACTCTACTGGCAGAGGGCTATATTCACCTCAGATCTCTCTCCCAATGCCATTAATGAGTGACTTTATGAATAGCGCATGGTTATGAAAAGGAATTTCCCGTAGAAATTGGTGTAGGTAAACAATATTGCATTTATTTCAAACCTAACCTAACCTGACTAACAAAAACTGACCTAACTTAAAGTATGGTATTTACTTTAAAAAAAATGCGTTCTTTATTACATTGTGCGTAATGTTATTTTGTACTGGAAGTCTTCCCAGAATCTATACTGCTAAATTCTTGCAGCTAAAGTCACTCACTGAAAGCCGCTGGTGGCCCCAGGAGGGTGGTGTAGTTTAAGGAGAGGCTGGCGCTCCTAGGGGTGGCGTGGAAGCGGTAGCCCTAAGTCGAGCGGCTCTGAAGGGAGGTTGCATCGTAACGTCGTGTCCCGCTTTCCATGGAGGATTCCACAGTTTTCGGCTGTCCATAAAATTCGAGTGAAAGGTTCGTGCATGGCGACTTGTTTTCCCGCGTTTCGAGGTCAAGCTACTTCGCCACATCAGTTACTGCTGGCGTCATAGAAGTACAGTATCTGTAACTTTGAGTCGTGAACCCATTCGAGTGTCGTCGAGTGATTCCATGAGCGTCATTCATTGGTTTCTCAGTTTCGTCCCCGTGACCTGTGCGTTGTTGATCGTGAATTCGGTATGTACCATCAGTGATTCTATGTGTTCTTGCTGCCTTGAGTCGCATTATAATCATGTCTGAAACCGAATCTCCGATCGAATGTGCGAACCCACGAAATTCTGACGTGGCTGTGGTCGCCCAGGTTAGATATTTCAAAACCTTGCGATACTGTAAACTTCATGAGGAGTTCGTGTTTATCTTAGGAGAGTGCGCAGAAATCTGATTGGATATCTAGTGAAGAGCTCTCAACGGCGGGCAGCAGTGATGAGGATGATCACGATTTCACGGCTAATTTGAAGAAACGTGCGAAGAAAAAGAAAAAGTCTGCCGAGCAGCAGCAAATCGTCGCGGAGGAAGGAAGCCTTATTCCTGATGTAAGGCCGAAAACCGTTGATGATAATCCAGAACCTTCATGACTTCAGGGTTGCACTGGTTCCAAAATCTGTTGAATAATTCCAGAAGTTCTGCGATGAAGATGATGTCAATTTTTTGACGATTGTTGAGGTGATTCCATGTGCTTAGTGTTGTTATACGACTGGCTTCAACGCAGGGATTGTAATTCTCCCTCTACGCTGACCCGAATCCTTTATTTCTGCGTAGAATGGGATAACTTTTTTTTTTAGGCAACCTGAAAAGGATTTTCATCGTCCAACTGCATTGGCGATTTAGTGGTGGTTAAATCATTGGGAAACCCTCGTACTCACCGATTCTTGTGTTTTCCACAGGGTATATTTTACTTTTAAATCCGTTGAAGTGATGTCCGACGGAGAATCGGCTCATCTCCTTAGTAGCAATGCAAATGAATCATCAGAAAAAGTGTTGTGTAAGTCATCGGATGACATCATCAAAGAACTTCTTGAGAGTCTCAGCAAGGAAGCCCCTGCTGAGCTGGAATGTCCAAGCGACGATGGCAGTCGAAGTGCAGAGTCAGAAGAGCCCGTCGCAAAGAAAAAGAAGAAATCCAAACGAAAGAAGAAATCGAAAAAGAAACGCAAGCACAAACATTCAGATCAAGAAAATGATGAGAACGACGAGTCCGTTGGAAACTTCGATGGACTGCCTTGTGGAGAAACTTCCAGAGAGGCCTCGGTCGTGAAAACACTGGAAAATAAAAGCATTGAATGCAGTCCAAAAATTTCAGAGAACCCGCAAGAGTGCCCGAGCAAAGATTCTGTCTCGAATGAACAATTGAACAATCATTCGGAACATGGACGATCTGAAGACGAGGAAATGGAATGGAACGAAGTTACGAGTCCCTATGTGATACCGATAAAATCCCGCTCTCCTCGAAAGGATAGAAAAGATGAGAAGCAAACAAAATCAAAGTCGGATAAACCGCGTGAAAAATCATCACAGAAGGCTAGGAATTCGGAAAAGTCCAAAAGTTCATCGCGGAAAAGATCGGAGAGAAGCTCTAAATCATCTAACAGGCGACGCGGTCGATCACCGAAGAAACATTCCTCCTCTTCATCAAAAAGTCGTCGGAAAAGAAGTCGATCTCGTTCACCGAGGAAGTCGTCTCACAGAAGCTCGAAACCGTCTCGGACGGAAGATCGCGGCAAGAAGCGTGAAAGTTCATCTGAAAAGAAAGAAACCAAAGCTGAATATCGCATTGACAAAGAGCGTTTGTTGCGAATAGCACAAGAGCGTCTGATGATTCGGAAAGAACAGGTATTGCATCTCAAAATTTTTGGTATTTATAGATTTTTCGCAAGACAGTGAAGTGTCTGGGCTCCCGCAATGAGATTTTTACTGCGGAAGTGCGATTCCGTGTTGAATTTATTTATTTTTTTATTGAAATTCGTATTATAGGAACAGAAGTGGTTGGGACCACGTTTCCAACCCATACCCGAAACTATTCCTGTGATGGCGAATGTTGATAAAAGCGTGGACGAGCTGACGGCAGTGTGTCGAAGACTTGTGGCCGAAGATGACGATACACCCGTGAGTGCTGGTCGAAGTTCGAAGCTGGCATCCGTTGTTCATCCTTATCAAGTGAAAGATCGTCCTCTACCCTCAATTGTCCTGAACATTCGAGTGAGTGTAGCACATTATTTTACAGCTTAATGCGAACTCTTGGTTACCCTTTTTGTTTGTTTATGTTCTCATGGAAGAATGCGACGCAGCTTCCCACGAATTCTCATCAGGATAGAACTATCGCCACTTTGGAGGAGAAAAGGCTGCTCTTCCCGGTGTCGAGTGGCCAGGATCATCGGGAGCACGAAGGTCTTGTGAAATTTATTTTAATCTCGGACAGCTGCTTGATCAATTTTTTTATGTTCAGCTTTCTAACTTTTCCCGGTGACCTTTGTTTTTAAAAACCTCCTAGAAAGTTGGGTCCGTTTCAATTTGTGACTTCAAAATCGAGTGTACGAGGGGGTAACTTATGCAATCTAACCTAAATTAGCCTGAATTTTTGAGACATTTTCACCTTTTCAGCTCGCGCCTCGAATTTGCTGCTGAACAAGCCCTCATTTTTCTATTTGGTTTCAGATGTTGCAGAAAGAAATGTGAATGGTGATGATTCTTCGAACTCCACAGAAAACAAAAGTGTTTTCGATATTCAGCCACGTGTAAGTATCAGTCGGTGTGCGAAAATGTACCTCATGCGTGCGATGTGCTCTTAAATAGCTTCGAGTTCCATGGGCATGCTTATCCAGGCAATGGAAGTGAGGAACTACAGTTATTACTGTTTGGAAGTCCAGAAAGAAGAAAATTTGCAGATTGGAAACTATGAATTAACCTTGAAGATTTTAAGCATATGTTGTTTCTTCAACTTCCGCTTTTGCCTGGATAAGCCGGCTCCGTGTCGATGTTGAAATTTCTCTTCTTCGGGGTTAATGACAGGAGTGTAATGTCGCAGAGCGGATCGTCGCCTGAGCTTTCGAAAGAGAAGATGAAGGAACGAATGAAGAAAAATTCGAAGGATTTGGAAGCCATGAACCAGGTGTATCCTACTCAGGAGCGTCTTCCCTCGCGGTACAAAAGTCATCAACTTCCGGGTCAGTTCACAGGAAGCACGGGAGTGAAACCCTTGACGTACGCGGAGTTGAACCAGGGTCCACAAGCTTGGGCCCGTCCTGTAAGTTTTCCAGACGCTGGAGATAAAGAAGGCGCTTTGAAAAATTGAAGATGCGAAGCAGTTCAGGGGAGGTGGGATAATGGAGGAAAACGAAAAACATTTTCTGTCAATATTCCATTAAAACGGAGAATGGTAGAAGAAATAGGACTCCGATTCACGTCAATAGTTAATTTTTTATCCTTCAGAATGCCTTAATTTTTCTCGACCGTGAGTCGTAGATTAAAAAAATGTTGCTTCCCAGATCCCAACGAAATATTCGCATTTTTGCAAGTCGAGAAGTGTGTGAAATTTCTTGAATCCCTGTAAACGAGCACAGGGACGATTTTTATTCGTGGTGCATCAATTTTTTCGGTTCGAAGGATCAATTCGTGAGGGCGAATCGTGTTACTGAGGGACCTGGCAGAGCATTGTTGGAGCGAATGGGATGGAAGGAAGGGGAAGGACTTGGAAAATCGAAAGCTGGTCCCTTGGAGCCGCTCACTTTGGATATAAAGACGGACAAACGAGGTATTGAAGTCGGGGATTATTTTCATTACAACTACTGTACTGTATTTTATAATTTTCCGTCATTAAAAGTAATACGGGGTAGTGGCGTGTGAGTGACTTTTCACCCATTGTTAGCTGACGTTCATTGACAAGTTTTTATGGAATAGCGTAAATGAATGGCATAGTTGTTCTATTTTCGAATGCATAATCGATGAGAGACTTCGGAATATCGTTCCGAAGCATAGATTCTATCATTGGAATGCAAACAAGAGAGATTTATATATTTTTATTTCGATTCCAGTGTCTCATTCTACGTATATTTCAAGGAAAAATCTGACAGTTTAATTTCTCGCTTCATCACGAAATCGTTATCCGTTCGATTTAAACTTGTTATGATGTGAAAACATGATTGAAGATTACGTTTTCGATAGGCTTGGGTATCCCGGTCAAGCGACAGCAACCTTCTTGTCAAGTGCAGCCCAGAGTGCGTCCTAATGTCGGGGGTATACGTTCGAATACGTCCGCTAAGCCGCTGGATTTCGCAGGTTATTGTGTCCACGAAATCCCCAATGACGCGTTCATCTGAGGTCCATCAAACTTTTATTTCTTGTAGGAAAGCATCCTGTCTCGATTCTGATGGAAATGTGTTCGAAGAATCATTGGGAGCCGCCTATCTGGGAGACCCAGGATTCCGGTCCTCCGCATCTGAGAGTTTTCATCACATCTGTGAGAAATTTTTTATTTCAAACGCTTGAGAAAAGGATATTTCAGAGGGTTCAAGGCTGTTCAAAATTGTGGACTCTCCCTACAAGAAAATTCAGGCGCCCAGAAAAAAATTCGTTGTACAGTATTTTTGAAAGAAAATAGTTTTTGAAGTACCTGAAGATATGGTCAACGTCAAAGAGATATTCCACCCCCCTTTTTTTACTAGACCAGGGCTGTTTCTGTCTGTGTTACTTCTGGATTTTGAGTTGGTTTTACGATGGTGCTTTATTTTCGGGTGTTACGGTTACTTCCTTATTAAGACTGAGTTTTTGAACGTTTTTCTTTTCCTGAATTTTTAATATTTTTGCGGAACATGTTGGACAAGTATGGAGGAAATAGTATCCTAATGAAGTTTACTTCACTTCAATTTTCTTCGCAAATGTATCTCGATTTTAATTTTTCGTCGATTATTCAACCGTTGCGATCCTTTTTGAAGCTGGGCTCAAAAACCTCCGCTCAGTTTTGATGAAAAATGTCTGCATTTGAAAAATGCTCGAGTTTTTTTTTTTTGCGCAGCTTCAAAAGGATTTATTACTTTGTTTGGAACAGATGGTCATAGAGAATTTCAACACTAAGTGATTGATAGATGGTTGTTTCCTGTTTTGAATTGTGTCGAATTTACAGGTTACCGTGAGAGGGCAAACTTTCACGCCGGAACAGCCTGTCAACAATAAGAAACAGTCGAGGCATGATGCAGCTTTGGAGTGCCTTAAAAGATGGGGACTGATTTTCAAGACGGCGTAGGATTGTTCAATTTTTCCATTCTGTTTTTCATTTGTGTGATATCAGCGATGACGAGTGATATTCGAATAAGATTTGTAAATTGTTGTTCTCTTCCGTATTGATTTGTGCGCAAGAAGGAAGTGGAAGTTGATGCTTATTTTTCTCATTAACAGGCTCGCCTTATTTTTGTGTCTGTCACCTTATCCTAGTTCGGCGAACGCCAGGCGGTAAGTTTATTTCATCATCATTTTCAGAGCAGAAGATGTACGAGCATACTTTTTTTTTTATGATGCAGATAAATTTTCGAAGCAAACATGCAGATTCTGATTCGTGGAGACGCGGAGACTTTCGTGTATGAAGCAGAGCCGGAGCAACTCATCAAGCATGTCAAGGTGATTGAGTGGTTTTCAAGTCTTGATTAAATTTTTTTTCAACTATTCAGCATTTGTTGGGAAGTCATAGTGTGAGAGGGATGGTTTAACATTTTTGGGCAGTGATGAAAAATTTGGCGCTTTTCGTTTCCAATTTACGGAATCAGAATTGGAAATAAAATACCACTATGGTATCAATGAAGAGACTTGCAACAAGCATCTACAGAATTTTGCCGATTGCATCCCTAAATTGAGTAATATCTTACTTGTTAATTGAAATTTCGTGAAATCTTCAGCAACACCAAAATAAAATTGCCAAGATTTTTGTACTGTTTTTAATTTATATATTATTATTCATATTATTTTTATACGTTGTAGCGTGAATTTTACGATATGGGGGCATTCGTTTCTCAGATCACGTGCATAGAAAGTCAACTCATTTTCCTTAAAAAAATTTCGCCGTTTTAAAAATTGCAGGAGTTCGTCAGTGCCAAGACACAGATCGACGCCGCTGATTTGTTGCTGACTTGCGAAGGCGCCCCCTGCAATGACGAAGACGTTATCCCGAGTGGCCCACTTGTTTTCAATGTTGGGTTGAAGGGAGGTGGGTTCTTTCTCCGAGTTTCTTAGAAAACTACGCTAAAAGTTTCAAGCTTATAATCTCTGTTCTGAATGAACAATATTTCGCTTTTTGCAGGTAAGGTTCACGGATCCTTGGCCCGTGCTGGCAAGGTGAAGGGGCAGACCCCGAAGGTTCGTAACCTTTTTTTTTTTTTTTTAAGGAATTAAGATAATTTTTTGGGTTATTTGTAAACGATGCATTCGTTCTAATAATAACGGAAATAATGTAATAACATCTTTTCCAGAATGTAGTTAAAGCTACAGTATTGCATATTTTATACTTCACTGTTGAAAAAATGTATTGGAGAACGCAAAAACTGAAGTTCTTTACAATATTTTAGCCTAGTTCCTGATCAATGATTTTTCATACAATTCTAAGCTGGAGTTCTCAGCGCATTGTGATACGGTACAGTATTTAAATATTGCCATAGCGAAGGACCAAAGAAAGAATTACCGTGTTTTCCACTATTTTAATCCTTGGATTCGAGTAGTGCGTGTTCCAATATTTTTAGGCATCATGCGAGTTTTGTTGCAGAATATTTCTCGAGATAGAATCGAGTTCGGTCTGAGCGTTAAGATGAGTTGATGTCGGCGAAGAATTTCAATGCATTGAAGAATTTGTGATTAAATCGACTCCGTGAGGCCGAAGTGATGCGCAGTGATATATGTTCGAGATTTAATTACATTAGAAATCTCAATTCCTGGGGATTCTATGAATTACAGTAATTTGTTACTGTATTCCGGCGAAGTAATTTTGTGGGACTTACGAAAACTTGGAAATTTTCTGTTTGATACTCAGGTGGACAAGCAAGAAAAGAAGAAGCAGAAGACGGGCCGCGCTAAGCGTCGCATGCAATACAACCGTCGGTTCGTGAACGTTGTCCAATCCTTTGGCCGCAAGAAGGGCCCGAACTCAAATTCTTAGACATCGCGTCTCTTGAGCACTGAATGGGGGAATAAAACGGTCGTCTGCTCCGTTGCTCTGCTGGCCTTTTTCTTCCGCCTTTTCGTAAATAATCTTGCTTGCTAGAAGACAATTCTGCACGTCAGGAGTTCTTATCAAATTTTGTCTTGAAGCTTTTAGCATGTGTGAACTTGGAAGACGGAGAATCAATGAGGGTGAGTCAAAAATTATTCGCCATTTCTGACTGTGCATTGCCGGGCTTGCAACACAACCTGCTGCACATACCTGTCCATGGTCGATTCAGCACTTTTTTTGGGGGTTTACTGAACTTCGAAAGTTTTACTTTGACATGTTAAGCATACGAAAGGCAGTGAGGCAAACCTTGAGATGTGAGCGGAAAATTTGTGACTCACCTTTTGTGTATGGTTCAGAACACTTGAAAGCAGGTGAACTCTCTCTAAAACGAAATTCAAGGGACTGGGAAAAATCGTTATACAGAGAAAATTGTTTTAGAGAGAGCCCACCTGTATTCTTTGTGTGACATGTTTCACAGGTACGAAATTTTTAGCATTGATCTTCCGCTTGCGTTTTTATTTTTTCAAGGTGTTTGAAAACGTCAGGGTTTTCGGAATTCTTTTAATATGACGTGTTGGACGTAGTTCTTGGTGTTGCTCCAGGCCTACCGTAAAATAAGTGCTCATTATGGGAGATGTACTGTTTTCTGCAAGTGTGCGAAACCTATTGCACACTGTCGAACCAACGGATCTCATTCGCAAATCCATCGACGAACTGCGTTTGTTGTACAATTTGGACGAGAAAGACGCCGATTCTCTGCGAACTGAAGCCGCCTTGCGAGTCTTCCCGTGTATTCCGAGAGACGTGTCAGAACTGCAAGATTTATTCTTCAAAACCGGAAACGAAGCATTGGATTCCTTTTTGAATGGCGGTTTCCTGGTGCCCGGGGTCAACGAAATTTGCGGGCACGCCGGGGTAGGGAAAACTCAATTCTGTTTGCAACTCTCAGCAACTGCGTTGCTGCAAAACCCGGATTCTCTGGTGGTCTACATCATTACGAAAGATTCGCTCCCGACGACGCGGTTCACAGAAATTTTTGAAGCCTGCTCTGGACGAACATTGACGGGAATGGATGGCTTGCGAAGAGTCTTGTTATTGCACATAAGGCAATCTGCTGAACTCATGAATGCCTTGGATGTGAAGATTCCATCCTTGATTCAAGCTCATAAGCTGTGTCTGATTGTATTGGACTCGGTAGCAGCGCTTTTTAGAGGCCAAGATGAAGTTTATGCGAGAGGAGAAGATCTGCGGAAAATCGGCTCGGGATTGCTGGGGCTCAGTCAGCGTTACAAAATCGCTGTGATTTGTGTTAATCAAATGTCGACGAACGTGGAAGAAAGCGAGGACGTGCCAGCACTGGGTTTGCTGTGGAGTAATTTGATTTCAACGAGGCTTGTAATGACGAGAATTGAAATCGGCGATGGGTCAACGACGAGGTTCATGGAGAAATCTTTGGGTCCGACGTGGCCTAATGAGAAGAAAAAATTTGAAATTCATGCGGGCGGAATCAAGTTAACCAGCTGAAGTCCTGTGATGAAGGTGAACAAGCGGGTTTTTTCGTAATATCGCGTGAAGAATCCGCATTATTTATAGAATTAACAAAAATCTAGGCCAAATTTTTTAAATCAACCTGATGATAATCTTTGTAACTTTTCATGAATGATTCCTTCTTGCGAAGACGAAAAATTGGATTTTGTCATTTGCATGATCAAGTCAGGTTGGTATTTGACGACTGGAAATAAGATGGTTTGACATTTTTAGATGTATTTTTTGTCATGTAAGAATTTTGGGTCATCAATCCAGTGTTTTCAATGTGATGGCAATGTTCCGTAATTTGCTTTCATATTGTGTAGATTTCGCCTGAAGTTTGATATCCGCCTGATTTTTGGGGAAAAGTTGGGTGTTGAGAAGTGGAAATACGGAGAAATTTTCTATTCCTCAACTCTTTTTTTTTTGCATTTACTTGCGTTTCAGGAATATTGTACTGAAGGCACCTGTAAGGATTCCTGCATTCAGCACAAATGAACTAATCGTTTTGCTGCTGTTGCGAGACATCTCATCTTTTCGAAGTGACCATTGCGACGCGATTCGGTGAGTTTGACCCTCATTTTCACTTCCGCATTGTTTGCTCATGTTGAATAAATTTTGTATAATGTCGGCGATTGAAGACGTAATGAGGGAAATCATGAATTCATTTTAAGGTTCAATCATCCCGGGAAGATGAGAGAAAGAAAATACGGAGTATTGCGAAGATTGGGTCGAGTCACTGTACGTCTAAGCTGTTCTCCGGAGAGTGGTGAATTTCATTTTCTTCTGATCCAATGTGGCGGGGAAAGTTTTGGTTCTCCAAGAAGACGTATACCGCTGATGCACCACATCTTAAGAATTTCAACTAGATTCTTCATAAAATGAATGATATAACTCTATAGAGAGGAGTACATTTTGTAAAAATCGTGTTCAAGATAGATTGTTTCGATTTTCGGATTGGTAAAAAGAATCCAATTATAAATTTTAAGATGAAGTATGACTGAATTTCAGCACCTAATGTCCTAATCCTTATTTTGCGCTGGATTTTTGTGTTGAGAAAAGTATATGGCGACCCCAGATACATTAATGTCCTGGATTTCAAATGGGAATCGAAAAATAAGGAGACGCAACATTTGAAATATTTCCAAATTATGTGTGATCATTTCCGAGTTTTCTTGAATTTTTTTTTTACAGTATTAAGGTGATGAAGTTGGGTGAGTGCATGTTTATTTCGGAGCTGGCGTCCGGGCGAAAGAAAGATGAATTCAAATTAACTCGTTTTCCAGTTCTTCAAAAATGTTGATAGGGGCAGTTTTTTAAACGCTGAGGCTGAGTGCCATTTTTTTCTCTATTGGATGCCAAGGAATGTTGATTCAGTTGAACGCTTCGTGTATCAACAAGGGTTTTTATCGGCGATTGCATCCGGCCTGTTTGATCACACAGTTCCAAGTGTTGATTCTCCTCTGTTTTGTCGCCGTCAATGTCGGCGAGTTTTCTCTTTCCTTGGAGTGGAAATTTATTCACGAGTCACAATTGAACTCGAAACGTTTCGGGTTTTTATGACTTGTCGTTTCGTGATCCCCGGGAACCGAGGAAAAACTTACCAACATCGGGTCTGTCTTGCTTTGCCTGTTCGCCCTCCTTATCAATTGTGTTTCAACTCTGCTGGGAAGCTGGGGGATTTCTGGTGGGAAAGATTGCATGAGGGTGCGTTTTTTCGGGCTTCCTGTTTTTCGGAGGGATTTCCTCGTGACACGGCTGTTTCGCCATCGACCGGATCCGTTGAATATTATCCGAACAGTGATTTCCGAATTCTTGTCCAGTTCAAGATGAAAAGAATACATTGTTTCGTATCGTGTATCAAAAATGTGTCGCCTATAGTTCAGTGATGACGAGTTTCCTGAAAATGTAGCGTGTTTTGTGCAGTGGAGGAGTCAGAAGACTGTGTTTCGTTTCCTAAATGTCTGCGAAGAATCTTCGATGAAGTCCCATTGTATACCATTTTTCTTGCCAATTTTCGAAGAAAGTATGGCATTAAAATAAATATGGTGCAGTAGTTCTTATTCATTTTCTCTCAAATTTTCAATACGAAAAACGCAGAAGGCTGGAAAATAATTTCTTGATGCAAGGAAAATATAAAAAAGAAATATTCTCATTATCTGTTCAAAAATTCCACGGAGAAGCAGATGGAACTGACGGCTTATTTTTAAAATTGAAGCAGGTTTCCAAAAATGGACGGAGGCTCATAATAAGGATAGATCCTGTATTCATTTGGGAAGAGCCATTAAATTCGTGGATTAGGATCGGATTGTGTGCCGAGGTATAGAAGGCATCTTTTGGTGGAAGCAACAATGCGGATTTATTACCACGGAGTCCAAAATATTTCTTCAAAATCCCCGAACACCTGCAAATTGTTCAATTGATAAGTTCACCTTTTATGGTTGCTGTGAATTTCGTGAAGGTTCATGTGCGAAATGTATGAATAATTTAGTCATCGAGTTTGGTGACAGGCTGACTGTCCATGTGTACACATTCAGTTAGACAGAAATTTGAACTTGATATCTGCGGAAAATTGTTGCTATTTTAATACTGTGCATCCGAAATTCGTGGGAAATCAGCATCTTCACAAATTCGCAATAGTCACGCTTCGGATAACCCTAAATGCTTCCTTATCAGTGATGACGTCATCAATCACGTCCGCAGCAACACATTTACTTTTTGTACCTCTATTCCCTCAAACAAACCGCATTTTCCAGAAATATTTTACAGTACAGTACTTCTGCGTCGAGATCAGGAATACATTTTTAATTCAGGGTAATGCTCGAAACGCGATTTGAACACTTATTCATATAATCATATCCCACATGACGAATTTTTGTGAAAGATTTGAAAGTCATATACGGTAGTTATACTTAATTACTGTACAAGCACTTTCTTCCAGGAATGGATGAATTACCCGAAACCATATCACCGCCCCCGAAACCCAACCGAGAAGAACGTGAAAGTAACAACGTCATCAAAGCGAGACTTAGGCAAAAACTAGCTGCTATTGTCCCTCCATCAGATGAGGAAGAAGTCATTGAACAGATCGAGAATCGACAGAGCTCTAAGATCAGAGACCTAATCTCCGCGAACTTCAATGAAGCTTCGGAACAGCGTTCAACATTCCTTCCATCGGTGAAACCCAAGTTGGATCCCAGAGCGTCTGTAGAATCGAATCGGCCCAATAATCAGCTCAAGAAATTCACGGTTGAGCGAAGTGTAGTACAAGAACCGGTTCAACCGCTTCCTTCGGCGGAAGCAACTGCGCAGAAGGTTGACGCTGCTAATGAAACCATAAATTTAAAAGAAGGGTCTCGTTTTGAGATACAGCTTCCAGATGAACCAAAGACAGTAACATCGTCAAACCCGAAACCGAAGGTCACCTTCACGGAGCCAACACCACTTCCAAACAAGGTCGAAATCAATTCAAGCATTTTGGAGGAGAATGTGAGTCCCGAGATGGACGCGGAAGATATGGTTAGAGAAGCGATCGCTCTGAAATGGATCCGAATGGAAGCTCACTTTCGCGAAATTGCACTCCAATGCGCCGAACAGTTGACAGAGACACACGACTACCTCAACCCGCAAAATTGGCACTTGTATCTCAGTTACACTACGTCATCTTCCTCCGGTTTCGCGGCGTATTCATTCGCGCGTTCGCTAGCGGCTCGTGAATCCGAAGACAAAGAACTATTCGAACTCCGCGCAGCAAGCATCGGGCTCTCGGCGGATTGTTTATTCCATGCAAAAGTGAAGAAGCCGTTTGTTCAGGTTGTTGAAGCGAAACCGAAATCAGCGTTGGATTATTGGAAAATGTTAAAGGACTCGATCGGGGTGGGATTCAGAAGCGGGGTTCATCGGGAAGAGGTTTGTTGTGAGGAAACGTTGGAGGCATGGTTTGCGAGCCAGGAGTTGGTGGGTATGCATTCAAGGAGCCATCCGATGTTCGGGAGACTGTTGGGCATGCAGTTTGAAGCCAAGTCCCGGATCATACTGGCTGGGAAAATGGAGAGAGAGGTGAGATATGGTCGGGTATGGAGGTGTGACGCCAACGATGGGAGCAGGAAATGATCAGTCGTATTACAGTACATTATCTGATTTTTATTCTTGATCAGAGGTAATATCGTCCCCTTTTTCATCTTGTTGGGTAAACAAAAAAAAAAAATGAGAGAACCCCCTCCTCGTTGAGCTTTTTCAAGCATGGGAGTAGCTTCATAAACTGGAAAAATATCACAGCATAGGAAGACCTACTGTATGTGAGTTGACTTCAAAAGGACCAACAAAAAGTGCACCTTACCCCTTCAGCTGAAGAGGGTTCTCTTCCATTGCCCAGCAGTGGCAGGATTCTTCTGCAAGCTAGCATGTTTTGGTTTGAACAAAAGTAACAAAAACAACACCAGGGCAGGAAATATTTGGACAAGCCAGGATGGGAAAATTGGCGAAGTCCAGCTGACCTTCAATTTAATCCTATGGGTGAAAGTTGAGAAATACCCAGCCTTGGGAGAGTTCTTCTTTTACTCTACCAATGTTTTTTGCCCAGCTAGAAAAAAATATGGATTTATCCTGACTTCGGCTAAATTTGGCGGTGCAATATTGTTTTAATGTAGAAAATTCTAGTGATGAATTTCTGCAAAAATTTCCTGGCACCACTGCAAAAGGGTTGAACAGGTTTTTGGGAGGTGAGTGAAATATGTTGGAAAACGCTTGCTGCTGTACATTTAAGAAGAAGAAATTCGGGCTGAAAATTTTCACTGCAGTTGTGTGTAGTACTGTATGTCCAAAACCATTTCTCAAATATTTACACTGCCTAAAATGAAGCAAGCAACAGGCAACTGCTGATGCTGTGTAAATGAGTACAAAGTGCAGAACCTCAAGCCATGATTTTGTGGACCAATAAACTATGCTCATTTTCCTTCCCAGAAGCATGACCATTTGATTTTCCCGCCCTTCCTTGTCTTCAGAAATTTCAACTAAAGGGAATCCTGGTGGAAACATTTCAAATGAGGAGGTTTTAAAGGCACTTGTTCAAGCAGGGACTAGAAAATATTCTAGTTATACAGGGAAGCTTGATTCAAAGAGGTCTGACTGACTTTTATAAACCATTTCTCTCCAACAAAAAGTTGTGACCCATCAGTGAGAGCTATTTTTCAAAATTCTGAATAAGGTGATGGCAAAATCCTGGGAGAAGCTCACATTGGCAACATTCCTGGATATAATCCACCTGGGTGCCATCTTTGCGGGATTCGAATACCCAGTATTCTCTTGCATCCTCCTCTCAAATTACCCACCGTCAGTATTGGAAACTGAGACCTTGTTGATGGTGATCAGAGACATTGGGGAGTATCTTCTGATTCGTCATCACTACTCCAACGTCTTCGACTCTTCTATCGCGGATCCCCGGATTTGCTCTGTGCGCTCTGGACGACTATCATGGCCGCTCGCTGTAGCTGTTGAGCACGCTGACGTCACGCAATTATCGGTTTTAAGACGTTGCTACGGGAGCGACGATCCGTTGGCGGTGTTGAAGGTGAAAGCCGTATTTGAAGACATCGGGGTTCCCGGAAAGTTCGTGGAATGGGAGAGAGCTGCGAGGGCACACTGCTGGCGGGGGATTCAGCAGATCAGCGAGGAAAAATTGGTGACAGCTCTGCAGCTATTCTTCGAAGAACCGTTTCTGGCCCTGACTCATCGGTATTCTGCTGTTTTGGATGACGTTTGAATGTCCTTCGGGACGATTTGAGTTATAACGACTATTTGTAGAATTTTTAGGTAGGCTGTCAACAATAAAAAAAATTAAAAAAACATGTAATATCCTAGTACTCCTGGTTCTCAATTTTAACGAGAAGAGATCATCGTAAAGGTCAAGAAATCTGAAGAAGATGAAATGCGCCATAGTTTTCAAGTTCGTGATTTTTGTAAAAGCGCATTTGCCCATACTTTAGGTACTGTAGAACTAAGACTGTTCTTTCATTTCTCTTATTGGCACCTCAACTCATTTCCCGCGCTTGTTTTCAGCATGAATTACTATTATTTCAATTATATCATCGGAGATATATATCACGCGTCAAATTCCGAGTGTTCACTGTGATAATCTACATACTGTACTGCATATTGTTGGATGTTCAAGTACGTTTTTAGTGGATTGGATATGAAGTACGCGTACATAAAAACAGCTGTAAATCCAGACCCAAGATGAAAATCAATATTTTCGCATTACTGCTGTATTCATTTTATTTCGGAGGTAAGTCAACTCTTCTGTGTTCACCTGATGCTTGTGTTGTCTATACTCTCCGCAGTATTTCTGAACAATCCTGGCTGTCCCAACAGTAGTCATGATCAATACGCTATTGCTCTTCCTTGTAGTGTACAGTATTTCCAATTAATCTTTCGTCCAGGAAAATTATTATGGGTGATGCGTGGAACCAGTATGTAAATTTTATCCGAATGCATCTATGCTACACAGAACCGAACCTAATCCCAGCAGGAAGACGAATGACGGAAGATTCTAGTCCCCACACGTTTTCCGCGGTTCGAAACAAGTTTTATTCTGATATTTGTTTCGGATCAAATTAGATCGTAGTCCAAGTAGGAGGTTAATTATTTTCTGAGTCGTTATTCAGATTAAGTTATCTTGGAACTGGACAGAGGACAATCGAATCAGATTGCGAATTTTTCAGATTGCGCTAGCTTTGCTCTTGATCATTCAGTTTCAAATGTGTTTCTACGGTTGATACGCGCTGCTTTCTCTCTTCAAATCTGCCTTTTTTAAATGAAGGGCGGTACATTTTTACATAGCTTTTAAAATTTGAAACGTCGAGAAGTATATGTTACTTAGAGATCGCGTAGTTTAAATGAAGTATAGCAAATGTGTTTAGATTAAGTTATATGGTGGTACACTATTTTAACGCAGCAGCTTTTTTTTTTTCAAGAATTACAACGCAGAAAAGGGTTGAAAAGCTTGGCCTCAATGACCGCAGCACCAGGTACAGAATTAAATTTTCGATGCCAATTACATAACATATTATTGTGGCAAATTCGGAATATCCCTTTTCATGTTGTACTGCTCACCAAAATCCTCGGTCATACGGATTGAGTGTGCATGTATGTACAGTAGTTGAAAAGCAAGCACGTCATTTATGAAAGGCAACTTGAATTTCATTCATATTTGGTCACATGGATATGACATGCAGTCACAGACAAAGCCCAGAGGATAATTCCGCAATATTCACACAGGTAATTCAAGAATCTTGTCAAGCCCTTTCCAGCCAATTTGAAGAAGAGTAAGAAGGTTCCGGGTCATGGTTGCACAAATCATCCGTTTGAGCTCATTGGCCACGATTTCAGTCCCATCCGCCGAATTTAGAAATTCGGAGTGAATCCTCACTGAAAATATTGTCATTAGATTATGACCAGTCAGTTTAGCACGATGGGGTGTGAATGATGAAATAAAGGGAAGAAAATTATTCAGCTTGGCAGGTGGACGAGGAGCACCCAACTGAATGTGGGGTGGTGAACAATGGATAAACTCTTCAGTTTTCAGAAACTTACCAAAAGCATCTTTTGAATCACTGCCAACGATCTTCACTTGCATGCGCCCAGTCTCAACTGTGCAGTTTCCAGACTTGGCCCTCAATAATCCAGTAATTTTTTGCTTCACCATCTTGAGGGTCAACTCGCTGACAAACTTGGCTGGCAAAAACAAACCAGAACCAGATTTACTCAAGTACCATGCATGTGCACCTACTTGCTTTTTCTTAGAAGAGAGTAAAAAATTGAATTTAAACAGAAAAATTAGGTGTGTATTACTGCATAATTCATTTTAATAGAAAATTTTAGACAATTTCAACAGGAAAACTTACTACAATGGGATTGATTGACAATTCGTTGAATGCAGGAACAATTTATGTCTAAATTCAAATTCGGGCTTTCTTGTACAGTATTTGAAATATTGCAGTTTTAGAGTTCCTTTATTACGAGAATGGGTTCATGTCTTACTTGGGGATACAGTTACACAAAAAACAAATTTGTCTGAAAAATTCAGGTATGCATCTCATTCAAGTGCATATGGTACTTGGGTAAATATTGTATTCCAACTATTGTACTTCATATATGCATCTAAAATTCAAATAACAACCTGCATCAACAATCATGTTTCCTGTAGTGAAGGCAGGCAGAAACCTTGATTGTCCTCCCATGAGAGCAGATACATCCAAAGCTGCTGTATAATTTGCTTGAAGCCTGATTCCTGGTGCAGATGGCATCAGTATGATTGCTATGTTCTTGGTCTGGCGACTGTACCTGATGTGGCAGTAAGGAGATAAAATTGGCATCATCAAACAAAAATAACACTTACTCTTCTAATAATACAGGATATTCATCTGTGTATATGGCTTAAAGGTTCCATAATATCATACATTAACCTGGACATATACAGTACATGCATGTAGGCCAAAGGAAAAAAAACACAGGGAGAGAATTTTGAGGTGTTGATACAAGTGGACTCTTTCTACAACAATTTTCTCTGTATAACACATTCATTTTTGGTCAATACAGTTTGCTCACTGATGTGTTATATGGGTTCTCTACAATAAAATGTCTCTATCTACAATGAATTGTTTGGTCCCCTGAATTTCATCGTAAAGATGTATAAAAACCAGCACCAAAGTAAAAATTACTTACTTCACTTTCATGTTACCAGGAGCAAATGCAGTGGATAGACCTGTGACATAGGCATTAGTTATTTCTCCAAACATGACTTGACTACTGAGTGTTCCTGTGCCTGGCATCAACAAGGGATCCAAGCTTTTAAAAGGCACTGGTGCAGAGATTCTCTGAGGATTTGATTGCATTTGTCCAGCAGCCATCAGTAAAGAGTACACACATTTGGACACTTCTGGAGGGTTTTCTCTGGCTGAAATCACTTGCCATGTCTGCTTGCATCTTGACAATTCTTTCACTAGAAATAAATGAATGTTTGTCAGAAGTTGGCTGAGAAGAGTCACATACTTGGTCATCTGTGTTGAGAAATCTGTTCTATACACCTCTCAAATTATAACATGAGCAGTAAAAAATACAATAGTCTATCTCAGCTAGGATACAGGAATCATCATGATGTAATTGCTAAAAAAAAAACATACATTTGAAATTCCATGTGATGATACCAAATATAAGTGCTTTGGACTGTCAAGAGAAAATGATCTGAAAATTTAATGAGAAACCTTTGAACTTTACATTGATTTGCCTGAAAGCCAACAATTTCATCATGGCAGCCATGTCCAGCTCAAAGCAGCAGCTTGTGAGGATATACAATTTTAATTTGATTAAATGAACTGTTTGGAAAATTTGGAGCCAAGTTTCAGTACACTTCTAGCCTGCAGCTTTTCTCTGAATTCTCTGTCAGATACAACTTTTAATCAAATTGCTTGTCATCCCAAAATATGTTTCCATCCTCAAATGAGAATTTTTTGAGCAAATACACACTTACTGAAGTCCATTAATTTCATTCAACTTGATTAGGATACATGCTTAGAAACTATTGAATAAACTGAAACAGTTTGACATAAACAGTAAAATCTTAATTGTTACAACAAAGCCATCTTGGGTCCAGTATATAGGAAACAAGATTTGTAAATTGTTGTGAAGAATTTCAAATTACATTTTTTTTAAAAGGCAGAGACCTGAAAAAAAATTTATCAAAAGATTATGCTCTTCAAATTACAGTATGCTTTACCTCATAAAAAGGGCCATGAATAATATAAAAACACTAATATGGTACAGTCAACCCCTGCCCACAACAGATCTCCTGCCTAAAGGATTTTTCCCTAACAGACTGCCTCTGGAAACAGTTTTTCCTCCCATCTAACAGACAAACTCTGCCTAACAGACTTCAGTTGATTTAAGATTAATGGTAAACAGTTGAAATTTTAACTTTCAACAACTGAATTTGCATCACAGACTTTTCAAATAACAGACTAATCTATTGCACAAATTAAGTCTGTTCTGTGGGGGTCAACTGAATTTTCAGAAGACTCCCAATATATAAAGGAATCCCTTTTCAAGGAAAAATTGTCAGTATGAACATCTGCCAGAAATAATGCAATGGATCTCAGAAAAAGTTTCAGGATTAAATTTCATTCAAGAATGAACAATGAAGACAGGAATCTATACTCACACAGCAAAGGATTAAAACCTTTGAGTCCAACAGCTGCAGATGCTAATTNAACAATGGATAAACTCTTCAGTTTTCAGAAACTTACCAAAAGCATCTTTTGAATCACTGCCAACGATCTTCACTTGCATGCGCCCAGTCTCAACTGTGCAGTTTCCAGACTTGGCCCTCAATAATCCAGTAATTTTCTGCTTCACCATCTTGAGGGTCAACTCACTGACAAACTTGGCTGGCAAACACAAACCAGAACCAGATTTACTCAAGTACCATGCATGTGCACCTAGTTGTTTTTTCTTAGGAGAGAGTAAAAAATTGAATAAAAAAGATTAGATGTGTATTACTGCATACATGATTTTAATGGAAAATTTTAGACAATTTAAACAGGAAAACTTACTACAATGGGATTGATTGAAAATTAGTTGAATGCAGGAACAATTTATGTCTGAATTCAAATTTGGGCTTTCTTATACATTTGAAATATTGCAGTTTTAGAGTTCCTTTATTATGAGAATGGGTTCATGTCTTACTTGGGGATACAGTTACACAAAAAACAAATTTGACTGAAATATTCAGGTATGCATCTCATTCAAGTGCATATGGTACTTGGGTAAATATTGTATTCCAACTATTGTACTTCATATATGCATCTAAAATTCAAATAACAACCTGCATCAACAATCACGTTTCCTGTAGTGAAGGCAGGCAGAAACCTGGATTGTCCTCCCATGAGAGCAGATACATCCAAAGCTGCTGTATAATTTGCTTGAAGCCTGATTCCTGGTGCAGATGGCATCAGTATGATTGCTATGTTCTTGGTCTGGCGACTGTACCTGATGTGGCAGTAAGGAGATAAAATTGGCATCATCAAACAAAAATAACACTTACTCTTCTAATAATACAGTACAGGATATTCATCTGTGTATATGGCTTAAAGGTTCCATAATATCATAAATTAACCTAGACATATACAGTAAATACATATACAGGGAAAAACACTGGGAGAGAATTTTGAGGTGTTAATGCAGGTGGACTCTCTCTCTACAACAATTTTCTCTATGTAACACATTCATTTTTGATCAATAAAGTTCTCTCACTGTGTTATAGGGGTTCTCTACAACAAAAGTTCTCTATCTACAATGAATTGTTTGGTCCCCTGAATTTCATTGTAAAGATGTATGAAAACCACCAAAAAAAAAAATTACTTACTTCACTTTCATGTTACCAGGAGCAAATGCAGTGGATAGACCTGTGACATAGGCATTAGTTATTTCTCCAAACATGACTTGGCTACTGAGAGTTCCTGTGCCTGGCATCAACAAGGGATCCAAGCTTTTAAAAGGCACTGGTGCAGAGATTTTCTGAGGATTTGATTGCATTTGTCCAGCAGCCATCAGTAAAGAGTACACACATTTGGACACTTCTGGAGGGTTTTCTCTGGCTGAAATCACTTGCCATGTCTGCTTGCATCGTGACAATTCTTTCACTAGAAATAAATGAATGTTTGTCAGAAGTTGGCTGAGAAGAGTCACATACTTGGTCATCTTTCCTATCTGTGTTGAGAAATCTGTTCTACATCTCTCAAATTAAAAAATTAGCAGCAAAAAAATACAATAGTCTATCTCAGCTATGATACAGGAATCATCATGATGTAATTGCTAAAAAAAACATACATTTGAAATTCCATGTGATGATACCAAATATAAGTGCTTTGGACTGTCAAGAGAAAATGATCTGAAAATTTAATGAGAAACCTTTGAACTTTACATTGATTTGCCTGAAAGCCAACAATTTCATCATGGCAGCCATGTCCAGCTCAAAGCAGTGCCTTATGAGGATATACAATTTTAATTTGATTAAATGAACTGTTTGGAAACTTTGGAGCCAAGTTTCAGTACACTTCTATCCTACAGCTTTTCTCTGAATTCTCTGTCAGATACGCATTTTAATCAGATTGCTTGTCATCCCAAAATATGTTTTCATCCTCAAATAAGAATTTTTTGAGCAAATACACACTTACTGAAGTCCATTAATTTCATTCAATTTGATCAGGATACATGCTTGGAAACTATTGAATAAACTGAAACATTTTGACATTAACAGTAAAATCTTGTTACAACAAAGCCATCTTGGGTCCAGTAAATATAGGAAACAAGATTTGTAAATTGTTGTGAAGAATTTCAAATTAAATTTTTGAAAATGGGCAGAGACCTTAAAAAATTTCTATCACAAGATTATGCTCTTCAAATTACAGTATGCTTTACATCATAAAATGGGCCATGAATACCATAAAAAATACTAATACATTACAGTCAACCCCTGTCAAACAGATCTCCTGCCTTCCCTAACAGACTCCCTCTGGAGACAGTTCTTCCTCCCATCTAACAGACAAACTCTGCCTAACAGACTTCAGTTGATTTAAGATTAATAGTAAACAGTTGAAATTTTAATTTTCAACAACTGAATTTGCATCACAGACTTTTAAAATAACAGACTAATCTTTTGCACAAATTAAGTCTGCAGTGTGGGGGTCAACTGAATTTTCAGAAGACTCCTGGTATCAAGGAAAAATTGTCAATATGCACTTCTGCCACAAATGCAATGGATCTCAGAAAAAGTTTCAGGATTAAATTTCATTCAAGAATGAACAATGAAGACAGGAATCTATACTCACACAGCAAAGGATTAAAACCTTTGAGTCCAACAGCTGCAGATGCTAATTGGCAACGTGCAACAGATAAAAAGGAGCAAATCGCCAGTAAAAAAGTCGTCAACTTCAAAATTGCGTTCATGCTGATATGCTAATGATGTCAACTACAAAAACTGGACCAAAAAAAGCTGCTCTCGCAAAAAAAGTTTTTCCCAGCCTCAGATTGACTCGTGGTTAACCGACTGCATGGTAGTGGGCGACTGATGATTCTTTGGCCATAAAACCGTGACTGTCCACATTATCATTCCCTTTGTGCTTCCTGTTCAAAAAAAAAAAAAAATTACTAAAAATACACAGACCCAGTGACTAACAATTAACACCACGAGGAAGGTTAGCGGGTTTCTCTTCATAGGTACTGTATTTGATTCGATTTGCTCCATCTGATCCGAAGTTTAGTCTATTTTCGTCACTCGGATACGAGTATAATACATACAGCTGTACTCATTTCAGAAATACATTCATCACAGCGGGTACTTCATGCAAAATTTTATGTCAGAGGCATTTCGGCATTTAAATTTCAGCGAAGAGAAAAGAGGCCGATTTAAAATCTTTCTTCAAGATCTTCCCGCCTCAAGGTCGCAAATTATGTTCTTTTATGTAATACATTTTCTGCTGGGATGAGGAGCTTTGATGAGCAAATTTTCTTGCATGAAAGATCTGATTGCTTTTTAAAAGGCTCTGGAAAAATTACGATTGCCAGCAACATGAAACTTTTAATGAGAAACCACTTCATCCTTGAACCAATTAAACATCTATTTTTTCGGCTTCAATACAGATCATCAATCAATATTCTGACGAGAAAACCGTCACGGATTCCAACGCCTCTTTTGATTAATTGTCAAGAAAATTTATTCATGGAAATTGGATTATTCATTGGACCCAAAGGCCAAATCCTCTCGTATATAATGAATGAAATTCCATCTCTGGTGTTGTTTACAGAACATATTTACAGTACAAAATGCAAATTCAATCAAAGCCTGAATTTTGATCTGAGGAGTGCTGGAAGAATAACCCTGTTCAAAGGTTTGTACATGGCTCACAAAAATGGTACTCACCAAATAGACATGTGGCGCTTCATTCAAGGCTGGTCTTGACAGCTACTGGCACATGTTTGACATACATGTAACCAACTATTGTAGGCAATGTTGCTGTCCATCCATTTGAGTTCAATGGGTGAGGATTTGTGTGACATATGTACATGCAAATGCACATGTTCCCACTCAGCAATTCCCAACTTTGGACAAACCTCCACAGTTTAAGCCAATCAGTATATAGTAACAGCATTATTGACATTTTGCAGAAGATAGGAGATGGCCATTGCTGACAGCACACAATAACAGCAGGCATGCTTTCCATTTTACAGTATATATGCACACAAGACAAATTGAAAATGGCACTCTGTATGCTTCAGATGCACATTTTCATTTCATTTAGCCATTATCTTTGTATAATACTCATCCATACGATTTTCTCAACCTGGGTACACTTCAAGAGCAGCAAGCTTTGTGGTGACAATAACTCGCCATCTCAGTTAGCTGTTAGCTCTCAATATCAATATCTCTGGAAACCCAGAGGCACAGAAATTGGCTCAGGGTGTCCCGTCGATGAGGCCTCAGCTTCTTCATCACTAGTTCGACCAAGCAGCCTATCAATAGCTCTCAGTCGATTTTTTCTGGAATCAACCAAATAAGCAGCAATCCGTGCAAATTCGTTCTGCACAAGGCAAAAATTAAATCCCACACCGAAGATCTTGCCTTCTTCTCTCATTAACAATTCTATCCAACCATGAGGTACAGGGATATCCTTGATAACATAGCTGCGAAGTTCCAGCGTCAACCAATTGAAGTGAACAGTGCCACAGGGTTCAAAGCAAAATAATTCCGGAATGTACGGAGGTTGCTTTTCCAATAAAACTGGAGTTGACATCATCAACACGTCTTCCCCAAGCTGATCTCTAAGATTAATTGTCAACACAGGGGCAGGGTCTTTGAGCCGGAAATGCTGGTGGATGACATTTATGGCTTGAGACTGATAAAAATGCCACCTGAACATATTAACAGTGCCATCACGCACATCGCTGATGAGGGTTTCATCGCCCCAAAGGGCGTACCAACCCGGATTCTCAACTGGGAAACTGCAAAGAATCTCTTTGGAGAAATTCAGGATTGGAGTTGGTCCAGTTAAACCCCATTCCAGAGGGTAAATTAAAACCCAATCATACAAGCCCATCAGGCTCGACCAACGGGGTGGTTGATCAGGCCAAGCATTTGCATAACCTCCAGCAGCAGCATTGGCACGCAAATTGTATGGAGATATCTGCGCAGCATTCCAGTGGGTGCCAGCTAATTGATCAATCGGGAAACATCCGCCCGCAGTTTCCATCAGATGTGACGCTACCAACTTCCAGACAAGTGATGGGATCTGATAAGGGCTCTCTGATGGGGAAAACAAGCGTAGACTTTTCAACTCGGGAAGAGCAGATGGAATGCACCATAACTGCTGAATGTTTGTGCCAGAGATTGAAAGAGACGCGAATACATCGGTGAAAGCCATTGAAGTCCACGCAGCGCACAATGCTGCTTGTGCAGCTAAGAATGCTGTAATCCCATTCCTCACACGGGAGGCAGGGTTTTGCAGGTTCACAGGTCGGCCGGCACTGACCTTTGATAGGATGTCTTCATTATTCAAGCTCATCTTACTCAGTTTCTCATGTACAGGTGTGGCAGATGGCTCTAATAGCGACCCATCTACGTCCACAGCATGAGCTAGATTCGCGTAAGGTGAATCTGCGGTGCCCTTGTCCATACTGGGGTGACCGTATTACGCGGTTTACAACGGAAAGAGACGTGAAGAGGTAGTCAGTGTCCTTATCGCTGAGCACTTCCGAGCTTCGGATGCAGTGTCCTCTCTCATTCAGGCCAGCCCTTTGGATGACGTTGGCACAACCGAAAACTCTTTTCCCGCGATGTACAGATGTAAAGTACAATAGACCCCAGATGTATTCATACGATTTCACCAAAATAATTACCCAAATATTACATATAAGCTTAATAGTGTTCGACCTAGTGAAAACTTGATGGATTTCCTCACGATCCCCCTAGTACCCTGACTTTATCGTACGTCAATCACAAATCTATCAAGATCAAGGTTTCCAATGCGGACACAAAATTTAGAAGTCCCGAAAAACGCAACCTGACAATAGCGCAGTTCGCGAGATACCAGCGCGAGCACGGTTCCTACAGCGACATCTATATTTAGAAGCTTTCCGACGGATTCTGCTCCAATATCGTGCCCGGTTTTTGCAGAACTTATTCTGGCTCTGGCTGTGTATAGGTTCCTGCATTCAGGTGACAGGCAGCGATGAATGAAATACTTTTTGCATAAGAAGACTTAAACTTGAATGTATCATTATTTTTACAGGTTTGTATAATATCATGAAAAAAATCGAACTAAATTTGAACATGAATAAAGTGGTTTTTAGATTTAAAAAAGATCACTGTGTAGCATTCTTTAAAGTTTTGATTCATTTCGACCTTTTACAGCAATATAGGGACTTTTTATTTTTTGAAATGCTCCCAAAGATGCTCATATTATTCATACAATATAAAATGCCCTTCCTCAAAGAAAATACATAGATACATTATTCTCATTTTCAAATTTGCATTAAATAAGTAAAATGAGAAAGGGGTTCAAAAACGAAGGATTGCGGTCGTTTATTTATAAACCCAGGTAGAAAAGCAAACACAAAAAAGCACAACAAAGTTGCTACTTTTTTTGCTTGTGTTCCCAAGAAATTCATTCTTCAATTATGGAACAATCATTTTTTCCAAGTTTCTCCAGCCTGCATGGTAAAGTTTTCCGAGGGCTGTGGCGAATTCTGTGTTCACTGATGGAAGAATTTGGTTCAAAATTTGCGTAGATGCTTCAGGAGGAGACAGCATGCTGTTCATCAGAGATGCTGCGAAAATGAAAAAGAAAATTTCAGAAAAAATATTGTTTTTTCGTGCCCAACCTGTTAAAATTTCCTATGTGTTGAGGAAGAAGATCAGAAACCTCCCTTTTTTCAGGTAAACAGTCATTACTCAATTTTTGTCTAATTTTGAAGAATTTTTATTCCATCAATTAACGCTAATTTTTAAGAAATATTTTGCGGTCAATTTACGCGCATTTATTTTGCATCGTCAAAGTAATTCCTATAGAGGATTATTTCACCTTTGATGCTTTTATGATTTTTTCAAAATTATTGATGTCTCCTCTAAAATTTTAAAAACTGTGAAAATATATTTTTGGTGTATCTGAAGGAAATTATAGTTTCAAGGACTCACGCATGGTGTCGCTGGGGTCGTTTCCTTTGAAATTCAACTTGAATTCTCCTCCTTCGATCGTGGACCGACTCGATCTGACTCTCAATTCGCCTTTCGACGTTTTCCCCATCCCCACAATCAAAGTACAAGTTGGATCAGCTGACAGAAAAAAAAACTAATGAATTGATTGAAATGTGTGTGAGTATATAGCAAAATGAAGTCACCAAAGTATGCAGTAACCCTTCCGTATGATTTGGCGGCAACTGAGTTTTCCTGGCCGAAAAGAACTCCGGGGTTCAGGTCGATGTCATAGTCAGCCTCAACACTCACTTGCTTCGGTACTATCACTTTAATAGTTGCCACTTTGCTTTCTTTGTCGTACCTGCAAATAAAAACCAAAAATTGATGGGTTAATTCCGAAAAGAAACTCGAAGCTTTATTCAGACCTGGTTTACAATTATGTCAAGTCGAGATTATACCATTATTGCGCCTCCCTGTGAGTCAAATTCAGAGGGACCCAATCCCAAAAATTTCTGAAATTACTGGGACATATATAGGGAAAATTAGAGAACTTTTTTAAAGAAAAAAAACTTTAGAAAGGGGTGATCTTTTGGACTGGGAAGAGCTGGATTCATGTTGAATAGGATAGTAAATTTCTAAGCATGAGCATTAAACTAATTAGTGAATCACTTCCTGTTGAAAATCTCTCACTCACATTGGATTTGTTTTTCTTTACCTTTGCTGCTGCCAAAAGGTATAAAGAAATTTGAGTTACAGAAGTTTAGGGGGGGATAAATTTGGTACTTTCCTGTTATCTCAGTACCCATTTTTCTTTGTCTCATGAATTCAGTATTTGTTAGGCTAGGTTAGGTCAGGTTACGTTAATTGAAAGATATTTGTAACTAACATAACCTGACCTAACCTAACTTCACCTAACCGCCTCCCAAAATCAGTTTCAGCAGAATGCAGAAAAATGAAATTCAGTTTCTGGTAGGTGCACGGAAAGTAGGTACTGAGATAACAGGAAAGTACCATATATTCTTTCAGTATAGTCTGGGAGATCTAACTTTAGCTGTTCTTTGAGGGAAGGTTTGAGTTAGCAAGGTTCAATTGTACTAGTTGAATCCTGTTGTTAATTACAAATTATGATTTATATATTTCAGAACAAATCATTTTTGAAAGCCAATCTGCAATATAATAGACACAATGTCATCTAAGTCTCATCATAATGCACTTTTTAACATGGAGGTCTTTCTCAGGTCCCAAATCTTTCTTTTTAAACAATATTTCACATGCAAGATTAAAAATTGGTATGATATGGGTGATGTATAATGCCTTCTTTTTTATTCTTGTCCTGATACCAATAAATCACCAGTATCCAGTGTTGCAAATTTTATTATTTCTAATTTTAGCAGAGTCAAAGAGAACCCAAATTCTTGTCCTTGAAAGGCTAAATTCTTTCTCTGTGAGAACCTCAGAAGACCTCAGTTCTCACGTTACTTATTGAAGCCTCCAAGGCTGCATTTCACTAGAAATCCTGTTGCTAATTCTTGTCCTTGAAGGACTATTCTCCTGTTTCCTAAAACCACAAGATTGAACACAGTTCAACTCAAGCATTTGTGTGTGCAGTTTCTCCAAGATTTTGCAAGTTTCTCAGTGACAATCAATCATTTTCTACAAATATACCAACTTAGAATAGGGTGATCTCACCCAGGTCACAGCCCAACTGAATCATTGTGTTTCATTTTCAAAATCAACTCTTTTTTGGACACTCTAAAACTTCCTAAAATTTTAAATCTTCATTTGTTGGGATTTATTCCTGACATCCAGCCAACCATGGGTCATGGGTTGGGTATATAGCAGTGATATCTCATGCCTAACTTTTACACCTGCCAAAATTATGCCTGATTATTTGCTGGGTACTAATATGCAAGGAATTTGACAAACATCAAGTGTTTCAAGCTAGAATTATTTTTGAAAATACTATTGTTAGCCTAATTTACCAGAACTCTGGAAAGAACCTTTCCTGCAGCTCCAGTATAAATTGTGCCATTTCTCTCATTTTTCTCTTGATGAATCATTAGATGAATGGAACATTATTATTTGAGGTTAAGGCTCTCATCTCCAG